TACCGAGTTGCAAGGAAAGCAAAATCAAAATGAATACTTGAAATCATTTAAACTCATCTACTTACTCTTTTTTGTGTATAAAACTCTAACAGGGTCCTTCAGACAAGTCAATCTAAGCAATGACGAAGTGTGGTCTGTTGTTTGCTTGCGTGCTTTATGGCTTCCTGTTCTTGTCCCTAGCAGCTCCGGAGAGTGCTTCGGTTACTGGCGTTCCTGGGTTTAATGGGTCTTTTCCTTCAAAACATTATGCTGGGTATGTTTCTGTTTTCTTTCCTTGATTTTGAGGATAATTCATGTATTCTTGGAGATTATTGTTTTGTTCTGACATGGGGTTTTTATGTTTCTTTTTTCTTTTCTTTTCTTTTCTTTTTTTTTTTCCTAAAGGTATGTGAATATTGATGATGTTAATAGGAAGAATCTGTTTTACTATTTTGTGGTGTCTGAAAGCGACCCGTCCAAGGATCCTGTGGTTCTGTGGCTCAATGGCGGTCCGGGATGCTCGAGCTTTGATGGTTTCGTTTATGAGCATGGTATGTAGTATGTACTATCTATTTATCAACAAGTTCGATAATTTGTATGAAAAATATGTTTAGATTAGTGTTGCAGTTTAATTTGAATTTACGAGTAGCATTTCTTTTGGTCACTCCATTTTGGATGGCCATGTTGATGTATGGATGAATTGTTCTTAAAATTAGCGTCTAAGTTATGAAAATTGCTTTGATTGTTCGTTGCAGGACCTTTCAATTTTGAAGCGGCACAAGCAAAAGGAAATTTGCCCAAATTGCATCTCAATCCATACAGCTGGTCCAAGGTTGAAATTGTTTGTTTGATACTGTTTGGTAGTTGGATTGGAAATATGCCATTCCATTTCCAATGCATATGCAAAAGAAAAAATACAATGAGTCCTGCTTATGTCAATGCTTATTCTCTTTTCTTGATTTCCAGGTTTCAAACATTATATATCTAGATTCTCCTGTTGGGGTTGGATTTTCTTATTCGAAGAATGCAAGTGATTACAATACGGGTGACTTACAGACTGCCTCTGATACACATGCATTTCTACTCAAGGTAAAGAAAAGGATTATAAGAAGTTTTACATTCTACTTGTGTCGTTTATTTCCTGTATATGCTTTGAATTTATAATTTTTCTGTGTGAAACAGTGGTTTCAGCTATATCCCGAGTTCCTGTCAAATCCATTTTATGTTGCTGGAGAGTCGTATGCTGGAGTATATGTGCCTACTCTTTCTTATGAAGTAGTGAAAGGTGCTTCTTTTTTATTGTTTGGTTGTATGCTTTTGGATAGACCTAAATTGAAGCTTTTGATCTTTCCACAGGAATTGATGATGGTACGAAGCCAGTTCTCAATTTCAAGGTCTGTTTATCTCAGAAGAGTCAATGGATTAAAATTTAAATTTATGCTTTATCACTGCAGTCTGATATGAGGTCCTCATATATAGGGATATCTGGTGGGAAATGGGGTTGCAGATGAGGAGTTTGATGGTAATGCTCTTGTCCCTTTTGCACATGGGATGGGACTGATCTCAGATGACTTATACGAGGTAGGTGAAATCCCTTGTTACGATACTTCATTTTTCCATTCTAGTTCCCATTCCTTTCCCTCATTATTCTTTGAAATTTTGGTTTGAGTTGGAGTCACTTTGTTAGTAATTTCAGTACTTTCTATGATGAGAAAATGTTCATATCAACCACAAGTTTTCTTTGCTTTTCTTTTCTTCCATATTTTTACTTTGAGGATATTAAAGTCAAATATGTAGGTGGAATAGGGTGCAAAACTGGGTCATGGGTCTTTCTTCTTGAATGTCTTTTTCTGATACTGCAGGAGGTTAGCACCGCGTGCAAGGGTAATTACTATAACCCACCTACTGCAACTTGTCAAAGCAAACTGTCAAAAGTTGATGAGGTATTATCACTTGCTTAGCTGCTTATTGCAATGATTTAAGTGATAGTACGGGGAATCTCAGTTCATCTCTTTCATTTGCTTTTGAAATTTTGATTTACTGCAGGATCTACAAGATTTAAACATATATGACATTTTGGAACCCTGCTATCATGACAATGGTCCAAAAGAAATCGTAGATACTAACATTCGGTTACCATCCACATTCCGGAAGTTAGGTGAAACTGATAGGCCTCTTGCTGTGAGAAAAAGGATGTTTGGTCGAGCCTGGCCTTTTAGAGCTCCTGTGAGAGATGGAATTGTCCCGACATGGCCCGAACTTCTCAATAGTTTGAGTGTTCCATGCATGGTAAGTCACAAAGACTGGTCTTCTAACATGTGTGCTTGTTTCCTCTGAATCTGTATTTGTTGAGATAACAATTCTGCCTTTATCTCTGACTGAACCAAAACTTACACGCTCAAAACTTTCTATTAATTCTGTAGGATGATGATGTTGCAACTTCGTGGCTTAATGATGCATCAGTCAGGAAGGCAATTCATGCTGAAGATGTAAGTGTCAATAGCATGTCATTTTCTTGCAAAGTCTCGAATGCAGTAACTTTATAATCCCTTCTGAACACAAACAGGCAAGCACCATTGGTAGTTGGGAGCTCTGTACTGACAAGATTAGATATGATCATGATGCTGGTAGCATGATCAAGTACCACAAGAATATTACTTCTAGAGGATTCAAGGCCCTAATATTCAGGTAACTCACTAATTAATATGATGTATAGCATCTTCCTCTCAGAAAGCCTTTTTCATCTTCCTTTGTAACCATTTCCTAACTGTGTGCAACTGACTTTTCTGGCAGTGGAGATCATGATATGTGTGTTCCATACACCGGGAGTCAAGCATGGACTAAATCGGTAGGATATAAAATTGTTGATGAATGGAGACCATGGTTTTCCAATGATCAAGTTGCCGGGTACTTAATTCCTACAGTGCCATTCTTTTTTTTCTTGACTTCGCATTCCTGTACTATTCTTCGACTCAGTATATTGTACAAAACTGATGATTTCTTCTCCAAGATATCAGTCTTCCTATAGTGTTCTTTTGACTGAAAGAAAAATTCAGTTTTCACTTGGAATTGAATCATTTTTTTTCTCCTGCAGTTTTTTACAGGGGTATGAGAACAACCTTACTTTCTTAACCGTCAAGGTATTTTCATGCAGACTTTTCTTCTTATACTATTCGCAGCATAGCACATGAAGTAATTTCCTTTGATTTTTCATGTTTGAACTTTGAACATGTTATCTGAATATCTGTTTGCTGTGGTGCAGGGAGCTGGGCATACAGTTCCAGAATATAAGCCTCAAGAGTCTCTGGATTTCTATAGCCGGTTCCTGGCTGGAAAACCTATATGACAGAAATACATGCAAGTTCTGATAATTCAGTGACCCAAGAATATTCAAAGAAATATGACTTATACATATAACAGAGGATGATATATATATATATATATATATTTGAAAGAAATGGTATCCTTCCACATAATTTTTTTAACTATCTGATGTTTTATTATTTACTTGGTTGATACTTGATAGTCAAACAAAAGAAATCTGTCATCATTATGCAAGCATGTATGGTTCTACCTATACTGTGATTAATACTACCTGTGCTCTTAACTAATAAATATTTTTTTAATTTTATTTTAAAATTAAGGATTTATAAATAATTTATATTGTTATTTATATTATTTGTAAAAAATATAAAAATAAAAAGAATTTTTTAATGGTAAGATAAATAATGGAAGTCAAGAAATAATGGTGATGATGTTAAAATAGAAAAAAAAATTTATTTCCTTTAAATTATTAAAAAAATAACTATTATTTTGAAATAATATTTTAAATTAAAAAATACGCATAATTATGAAACTAAGAGAGTAATCAAATATTATTTATCAAAAATTGTTTACAAGGGTAAAAGTGGGCTAAAATGCTAAGTTTAATATTTATTTGTAACAGCAAAGGTAAAACTTACTAACCAGGTTTTTAAACCAAGAATGTTAAACAATATTTGGTGAATGTTAGATTCCTCTACCTATAATAAATAAAATTCTCTTAATATTAATGACATATTGGTCTGAGACTTTCTTCCTATATAGGATTTAATACGATTCGATTTCAAATTAATCAGATTCTAATGTAATTTTTAAATACAAAAAGGTTAATAAAAAAAAATCCTCTTAATTTTTTATTTTTCTTCTACAATCCTACCCCATCCAAATATAATAATAATAAGGATTGATTGTATTAAATATGGGCCTCAATTTACCTGGCCCATTTGGTGTAAGGTGTCTGATCCACATCATCACAAAATACCCACCCAATTCGGTGCAGCAGAACGGAAGCAAGAGTGGAAAATGGTGGCGGCTCTGTTACAGTTACAGAGGCGTCTCTTTTGCTCCAAAGTATCTCAAACCCATCGCCAGCAGCGCCAATGGAGCGTCAAGCAGGTAACCAAGTCCAACTTCAAGGACTCCCTGGAGGAGTTCAGTACTCACTTATCCTCCTCCGACTTCATCGCCGTTTCCCTCCAAAACACCGGCTCCTTCAACGCCCCGTGGCACCGCGTCTCCCCCTTCGACACCCCAGATACCGCCTACCTCAAGGCCCGGTATGCCGCCGACCGATTCCAGCTCCTCCAGTTCGCTGTCTGTCCGTTCAAGATCACCGACGGCTCGAAAGTCACCGCCCACCCGTAAGCTTCAATCTTCTTCTATCTCTTAACTTTCTTTTTTTCCTCTTGAATTTTGTGAATTTCTAGTTCTCATTTTTAATGGGTTTTGAGCAGGTATAATTTTCATTTGTTCCCCAGGGATGAATTAAACCTGGGGATGCCTTCTTATAGTTTTTCCTGTCAACCATCGTTTTTGACTGCCATGGCTCGTCAAGGTTTCGATTTCAATGCCTGCATTAATGACGGTAAGTCTTCTTTTCTTACCCCAGTTTTGGGCGGAAAAAGGCCTACTCCCATGAGGAAGAATGCATATTTGGCCTTACTAGCTTAGATTCGCTAAAGCAGCACCTTTGCAATCTTTAGACAACCTTACTTAACATATGATAGGAACATAGGAACAATAACGTGAGTTATTCAATTTGTTTTCTTACCAAGAATGTGTTTCCTAATTCCCAGTATTTCTCTATGTTGTGGGTTAGAGGGATTTCTTTTATTTGTGTCTCATGCTAAGGCAAAAGCATTTGTCATTTCTCATAGGTATATCTTACTTATCCAGAGCACAAGAGTCAGTGGCTAAAGTTCGAATGGGGAATCCAATACCCATTTGCAATTTTATGCAATCTTCTACTACGCCCCCTACTGTTGCTGACTCAATATTCAAAGAAAGGATCAAATCACGGCTTAAGCATTGGAAACATGGATTAGACAACTCTAGCATGAAGACAGAAGGTGAAGATGTGGCATTAAACTTTTGGTCTTAATTATATGATTCCTTTGTTTTCCAATTTTTAGTTGTTTACTTTGTTTGCAGAGGCTCTTGTGAGTTCCCTGAGAAAACTTATTAGTGGGTTTGAACAGTACAGTTCTAGACCATGCATCACAATAGATGTTTGCAGTGATCGACAAGTTCAACTTGTGATAGAGGTAGACTCTCATGGTGGAGTTTAAAATCCTTAAAATTGGCACTGACTCAATTTTAGCTTGTGTTGTTGCATAGCTAAATCAGAAATTTCCTAAGCTTTTATCTAATATCTCAAAGTTTGTTATGGCTGTTTACAGGTGGTTGGGGAGTTCTCTGATGACCTTGTTCCCTTGATCCTCCCATCGAAGGGAGGAGAAGTCCAGTCAGTTCGTGTTGTTTTGACGAGTTCAAAAGAAGACAAAGATCTGCTTGAGGTTGCAAATTAATTCTAGTATTTGATCATAATAAGTCATTTAACTCTTTCTAAACTGTGTTTTTGTGGTTTAATTGACAGAGGGAGATTCAAAATCTTGAATACAATCACAACCAGAAAGTTCGTGGCTTTCGAGAAGTGATCGATTTGATATCTGCTTCGCAGAAACCTGTTGTCTCCCACAATACCCTTAATGGTGTATCTCTTTAGATGGAAATTCCGATAATTCTGCGTCAAAATACAGCATATTATTTTTCTTCCTTTACTTTTTTTTTTTATTTTTTTATTTTTATTAACTGTAGACTTAGACTATATACTTGGCTTGTGCAGATTTTTCATTTATTCATTCAAAGTTCATAGCTCCACTTCCCCCCAGCTTGAATGAGTTTGTGTCATCTTTGTCCATGGTTTTCCCTTCTATCTTTGATATCAACCATCTGATGAAGGAAACTGGTGCTCTAGAAAAATGTACTAACTTGTTTGCAGCCAAATCGTACCTCAAGAATCGGTTCTTTGTGCCCATTGACATTGATGTTCAACATCAAGGTCAGTTTCACTAGCCCAACCTATCACAGCAGTTTGACCCAGGCATAGTGTTTTTCATGCCTATATGTCATGAGTTGTGTATGTGAATGTACTTATCAGCAATTTATTGTTTTATGTTTTGTATTGACCTGTCCTCTGTGCATCATATTTGGCTTTGTCAGCTTTATCTAATGAAGGCAAGATTCATGGGCAAAATGTCGTGAGGATATGTCAGTTATTTGCAAAACTATGCTCCGTACTGAGAATCACTTCCACTGCTATGGAGTTGGGGAACAAACATGTGGCATCAGGCCTTGAAGGTTATGCAAACATCTTCAATTCGTTCTCTAGAAGGCCCCAAGAACCAGTTGATGGGGACATCAGAGTTTGGACGAAGAGCCCCAGAAAAGCAAGCTGTGAGGATTTGGTTTTCCTGTGGGGATTTGGAGATAGGCTTTCCACTCGAATGCTAAAAGGTCTGCTTCAAGGGGCACATGATATTTTCTCAGAAGAATTTGATGTGCGTCTAGTTGATAATAGCTGTGCGATTGTAGTTTTCTGGCAATCTGGTTTAGCTCAATCTTTCCTGGATGCAATGAACAGTGACAAAATCAGTGGATCATTAAGGGATATGGTATCAGAAGGCCTAAGGGCTGTAGGTTACGGGACATACAAGAGAGCCTGTGAGTTGGGTTTATGGGAGGTAGATTTAGCAGATTCATTAGAGAAGGCAATGGACGATGTTGATTGCTCTGATAAAAGTGATTCCGATACAAAGCCGTCAGAGATTTACTGGTGCAATGACTTAATGATTAATTTGGATGATCTTTGAGGTAAATGATGTTTCAATTCTCATGTAGTATCTATATTTGGAGCAACTGAAAAATTCACTTGGAGTATACATTTTTTTTTTTTTTGGTATCCTTACCAATTCTAGGGTAGTCTCAACCAAATTTTTAATCTGAGTTTGAGTAAGACCCTCAGTTGTAGGGCTCTAATTATTTTTAGAGTTTAAAATTTAAGCACATGAAAACAGTTGTCTTTGCATTGCAATTATATAATTAACTTTTTTGAGATGGATAAGACGGCTTATTTTTAGCCAAGTTTTGGGGTAACCATTTTGTTCTTTTGCTCCCAGTGATAGCTCTTGAAAAGCTTAATGTTTATGACATGGGGATTACACTGCCTGAGAAATTTTCTGGTCTCTAATATTGTAAGCTTCATTTTTATTTTTGAGTTAGGATCAACTTACATTACTGTAAATTATAGTATATCTTACACCAGTCAATAATTCTTCATATGCTTGCATTTTGCCAAACCAACCATTTGTGTAGATTGTGCACCCTAAATTTCTAATTACTTATATGGGTTAAACAATTTCATAATAGGACATTATTTTATTTTAGACCGTTAAATACATTTTAGAGAATATACTGTTTCTTTGTTGGTATGGTTTCATATATTAGATTGCTTTGAAATTTGGTACGCATGATCTACACACAAAATTTATTCAGTACTGTAAGAATTATTCTCAAATTCTTGCGTTTCTGTTTCACAACGCTTTTTCCTACAACACTATATACTACCAAAGAATTTTCATCATATGGATATGCTGTTAGGGATTCCTTTCGCTGTGATCCCACCTTTGATCCCACCTGAAGATATATCAGGGTACAGAAGTTTGTATGGAATCTTGGCAGCTCCTGATCTATGATGTGCCAATTTATAACTTTTGTTCTTCTTCAAGATTTCTTTCTGAATCCCCTCAAGCTCATCAGTGAAAATACTAAACTTCTTAATAACATCTTTATTATCGGACCAAAAGGTTGGCTGCAGCTGCGGCTGCCGCTCCCCCAAGTATGCCTCATCAGATGTGTGATGCGAGAGATTCTCAATAACATCTTTATCATCGGACCAAAAGGTTGGCTGCCGCTGCCGCTGCCGCTCCCGTTCCCGCTCCAGCTGTCGCTCCCCCAAGTATACCTCATCAGATGTGTGATGCGAGAGAAAACTCATTAACGCCATCCCAATTTCCATCTCTTCCCTTTGAGGCAACATCTGGAGTAAAAATGATTCTTCATATTCTTCTGTCCCTCCTGGAATGTATTCATGACACTTCATGGGACGAGTCAGAGCATATGCATACCCCCCAAAATTCACTGCAGCGTGCAAGGCCGAAGCAATCCATATTATAGTTGTTAGGGTCTGGATTAGGTTCTCAAGATTTGTCAACTCATCCCAGCCTTTACAGACATCCGGATGACCTTTCTCCTGGACTTCTTTCCACCATTGCTGGATTTCCTCGTCCTTCTGGACACAATCATCGCTTTTATAGAAGATTTCGCAGAAACCTTTGACCCATCTTTCGATTGCATTCCATATCTTAAGTCCATCTGAAGCATAGGGGTAGTAGTTACAGTCAACCTCAGGGCCAGCGTCCTCATCTGGCTTGGTTTGTCTAGAAAATTATATATGGCATGTCAAAAAACCTTACTGGAAAATCATAGTAGTATGGGCAATTCTATGTAAGAATTTATTACTATTTTTGAATGAATATTTACCTTTTGTCAGGGTCACAACAATGAAGGGGTTCCTTCTCAGGTTGCTCAATTAAGATGGGTACATTCTTACTTATACCGCTGAAAAATTATATCATGTTAAAAAAAATTTTATCAGAACATTTTTATTTTTTAATATCAAATAGATACATGTACTTTTCAAAAAAGTGTCTGGGTTCTTTTTGCTCTATATATCTCAAAAATTATATATGGCATGTCAGGAAAACTTAATGGAAAATTATAGTAGTATGGTAATCCAATGTAAGAATTTATTATTATTTTTGAATGAATGTTTACCTTTTGACAGGATCACCAGGAAGGGCTTCCCTCTGAGGTTGCTCATTTAAGATGGGAACATTTTCAATCATATTGCTGAAAAATTATATAATGTCAAGAAATTTTTTATGAAAATATTTTTTTTTTATTTCAAATATATATATATATATATATATATGCTTTTCAAAAGAAGTGTCTAGGGTTCTTTTTGCTCTTTATCTATGGAAAATTATATATGGCATTCCAAGAAAACTTAATGGAAAAATTATAGTAGTATGACAACTCTATGTAAGAATTTATTATTATTTTTGAATGAATACTTACCTTTTGATAGAATCACCATGAAGGGCTTCCCTTTGAGGTTGCTCATTTAAGATGGGTACATTTTCAACCATATTGCTGAAAAATTATATCATGTCAAGATAAGTTTTATCAGAACTTTTTTTTTTCCTTTAATTTCAGATAGATGCATATACTTTTCAAAAAAGTGTCTAGGGTTCTTTTTGCTCTGTATCTATGGAAAATTATATATGGCATGTCAAGAAAACTTAATGGAAAATTATAGTAGTAGGACAACTCTATGTAAGAATTTATTATTATTTTTGAATGAATACTTACCTTTGAGGTTGCTCATTTAAGATGGGTACATTTTCAACCATACTGCTGAAAAATTATATCATGTCAAGAAAAGTTTTATCAGACCATTTTTTTTTAAATTTCAGATAGGTACATATATTTCTCAAAAAAGTGTATAAGTGTTCTTTTTGCTCTGTATCTATGGGAAATTATATATGGCATGTCAAGAAAACTTAATGAAAAATTATAGTAGCAGGACAACTCTATGTAAGAATATATTATCATTTTTGAATGAATACTTACCTTTTGATAGAATCACCATAAAGGGCTTCCCTCTGAGGTTGCTCATTTAAGATTGGTACATTTTCAACCATGTTGCTGAAAAATTATTTCATGTCAAGAAAACTTCTGTCAAAACTTTTTTTTTTTTTTAATTTCAAATAAATACATATACTTTTCAAAAAAGTGTATAAGGATTCTTTTTGCTCTGTATCTCTAAAAAATTATATATGGCATGTCAAGAAAACTTAATGAAAAGTGGAAAACCCTCAAATTTACTTCGTAAATAGATTTGTAAGGACAAATTTACCCCTAAAAAAATGTAGGGACAAATTGTTTTTTCAAATTATAAATCAAAACAAATAATTCATTTTTAACAAAACACATCAAAATTTTATTTGTCACGTCAATATTTTTTAATGAAAAACGTTAAAAATTAGGTTATTTGCTCATTTAAGATGGTTGGATTTGGGGTTCTACTATGGAAAATTATAGTAGTATGGCAATGGTAGGTAAGAATTTATTATTATTTTTTAATGAATATTTACCCTTCGACAAGATCACCACGAAGAGCTTCACTCTGAGGTTGCTCATTTGAGATGGATACAATTTCAATTAGATCACTGAAAAATTATATCATGTTTAAGAAAACTGCCACTAGAATTTTTTTTTTTAAAGTAAATACATTTACTTTCCGAAAAAGTGTATAGGGTTCTTTTTGCTCTGTATCTATGAAAAATTATATGTGGCATGTCAAGAAAACTTGATAGCAAAATATATATGGTAATATGGCAATTCTACATAAGAATTTACTTTATTTTATTTTATTTTGAATGACTATTTACCTTTTGACAAGATCACCATGAAGGGCTTACCTTTGAGGTCGCTCACTTGACTTGGGTACATTATCAACCATACCCCTGAAAAATTATATTATGTTAAAGAAAACTCTTACCAAAACGTCTTTTTATTTCAAATAGATACATATATTTTTTTAAAAAGTATTGTACAATTAAAATTATTCATAAAGTACTAAAATTTTATTTTTCTAATTCTCTTTTAATTTATTTGTTGAAAAGACAACATGACACATTAAATTATTCATAAACTCTTTCTCTCTTTCTTTCTTTTTAATTTTGAAATTATGCCTAACTTACTTGGTTGATTTTGTAGTATTTTTAGTGCTATAAGATGGTGTGTTAAATTCTTAAATGGTTACTTTTGCTTACAATGCTAAAAGCATTGTCTTTTTCTACAATATTTTATACAATATGAAATGATATTGAATGAATTGATATATACACTAATTTACGTATGATAATTATCTAAATAAAAAAACCAATCATAAAATCTATGTCATTCCATTGCCTATTTACAAAAAAAAAAAAAAATACTGCCATATTATTTTCATCATGATAAAAGAAAAATATTGCACACCATGTTGTCAATACCACATCAAACTATCAATACGCATACGGCATTGGTAACTCTGAACATGCATCCAGATATTTTGAGACCCCACTACTAGTAATAAATTAAAATGAATTTTTTTTAATGTTAAAATTAAAATGTATTTAAAAACTTATTAAATAATATTATTGATTTTGGGACCCACGTAATAGGTTGAATCTCAGAAGTAGTCTCTCAAGTTTGTCAAAATCAACATTTTAGTCAATCTACTTCATAACCAATTATGTACTTTTATCATAATTATGTGATCTTCGAATACACTCCGGTAATCAACTTCGGAGAATGTATATTTTTAGGTTAACTTGCAGAAAAGAAAGTATTGGAACGCCTATTGAAGGCAGGGGCGGAGGCAGAAATTTTTTTTAGGGGGGGCAAAATACTAAAGTTTTCAAAGTTCAGAGAAGATTAAATAATTTTTTATATATTAATTTACAAGATTTTCAAATTTCAAGGGAGCAAGCACCCCCTTGCACCCCTTCTCTCCGCCACTGATTGAACAACGTAGTTATTATTAATAAATTAACATATATATAATTAATTAAAGATATTTAAATAATTTTATAAATATTTTTATACTTTATTTTCATATAAGTCAACTTCAAAAAACACTTATATAGCTTTAATTAAACAATTAAATTAAAATTAAAAATGACAATCAAATAAACGAGCTGGAGAAGTTCGTCTTCTCCCCTCATTTGCGGTGCTAAGGATGGAGGAGAGTGGCATGAGTTTCATAGCTGGCGTTGTAGTTATAATATATATATATATATATATATATATATATATATATGTATATGTATTTATATTCCATGGAAGAACTTGGTAACTTTTTCGAAATGAATATTTAGCTTTATGGGGAAGATGAGTTTCATAGAATTTGAACTGCACCAAGATGTTACAGGAATAAGCTAAGTTGAAGTTTAATTTTTATTGAATTCAAATAGGACCATGATTGGTGCACACCCGGATCCCACACTCGGGTGTGCACCTCCCACATAAAAATAAAAAAAAGGTTAGACCAGGTGATGAACTTTTTTTTTTTTTGTTTATATAAGGGTGCACACCTGAGTGTAGGATCCGGGTGTGCACCTATCATTTTCCATTCAAATAATTTGAATGCAAACTTGAGTTAAACTCAACTTACAAGTTTAATTGAATACTTAAGTTTAATTCAAAATTTTATTATAATATAAAAATCATTAATGAGAGTTTGAATTTGTGTAATCTCTCTCCCCACCCTTTCTCCCGGTAGGTTAAACCACTTGTAATGGAACATATGAAATTAATAGTATTATAATTAATAATTACCACATAAATTTAGGACAGATAAAATTTTAAATATTTAATATATAGTATATGATTGTTTTTTTTAAAACAGTTGAGTTGAGTTTAAATTTTGATTTCAACTTGACTCAACTTGATTTTTTAAACTTAAACTTAAATTTAAAATTGAGTCAAAGTCTAATTCAACTTAATTTAAGTACTTTTTTCTCGTTTTGAAATATTACGCCATGCTATGAAAACGAACAGCTCAATACTATAGTAATCTAGCAACTCATCTACTTGTGACTTTCTCCTAGTAAAAATATTTACCTTTTGGCAAGATCGCATGGGAGGGCTTGCCTGTTAAACCTCCATTCCTTGTAAAACTCAGAGGAAAACTCCATGGAAATTTTGCCTGTAAATAGTGTCTTCTCCAGAATTCCACCGGCATTAATGAAAAAGGCTCGACAAAGTGCATTTATATGGATGGTGTCTTTGAAATGTGGATCTAATAGACAATATATAGGATGCATCTTGCTTAGCCGTCTTCTGGTGGCAATAATGAAGGGCTCAACTACTGCATGGGTATGTAACCTAGAAAAAAATTCACCTAGAGATCATATTTCATGTTCCCAGTTGTATATAAAGTACGTAGACAAAGATATAACGTATTGGTGAATAAGAGAAGTGAACAGAATGACTTACCAATGGCTGACTAATAGATGGTGAGCTGAATCATTAGCAGCAACATGAATTTTGGCCAAGTCCCATTCGTTGAAGTAGTTACTTGTCTCCCGCTCCGTATCCTCACATGATGGTGCTACAATGAGCTTGTGGTTCTGGGAAGATAAACTAAGTTCTATTGCAACTGGTATAAATTTGAAATCCTTGAAATCGCGGTATAACAATGTTAGGGAAGCATAAGCACGGACACCTCCAGCAGAATTTCTGTTTACTTCCCCTAGGTATTTGCGCAGGTGGTCTTGGTGATCCAAGATGAATATGTGCCCTAATTCTGCAATCTATATGTGGATGCAAGTACAAGTACAAAGTCAGACAAATTATACACCATGGAAAGTATCAATACAACAACTTGTTGGCATTTAATAACAACTAAAGTTTTCAAATGTTTTTATTTTCATTTGGAGACTTCAAGTTTAAGTTGTTCAGAGTATTAGTAAGGGTTTCTTTATAGAGAACAAAAAAAAAAAAAAAAAAGAGAGAAGCTATAATCTCACATTATAGCCGAGGAGATTCACATTATAATCCTATTTAAAAAAAAAAAATTCTCATCCCTGCTATCTATATTCTGTTATATATTTTTTTTTCTTTAAGATATTTCTAAATAAACGATATAAATAGTCTAAGAGTTGAATCTACTGATAAACAATGTGTTAGTTTAGGTTCAAAATTTATTATTAGCACAAAGAAAATTATTTTTTTTAAATATTTCAAGTCAATATAGGTGGAGTGAGCCATTAAAATTGTGCAGGACACCTTAAGTGTCCAAATCAAAAAAATACACAGCATAAATAATCTCTAAAACATATTTGGTTACCTGTTCAAGAGTTATCTTGCCCTCCTGTATTACCTCCAAATACTTGGTTACCATTCCAAGAATCCTCTCATCAACATCATCAACATTAAGGTGCTTCTCTATCTCTAATTTGTCAGTTGGAGTTTCAATTTCGCTATTTGGAGGCTGTTCCTCTATATCCAGAAATGACAACTATGAAACGAATGATCATACACAAAAACAATCAATAAACTAATTGACACTGAAGGCCCCCCCACCAAAAAAAAAGGACAAAAACCTAATCGAAACTAGATGTGTCTGATAAATATGTCATCGATCATTTCATTTGGAAAAGCTTTTCTAAATATACAATATAAGTACTTGGTTACCTCTTCAATAGTTATCTCCTGGGACTTCTTTATCTTCAAATTCTTGTTTTCATCTCCAATAGTTATCTCTTGGGTCTTCTTTTTCTCCCAATACTTGGTTAGCTCTTCAGAAATCCTCTTATCATCAACATAAGCATCATAAGAGCTCTTCTTCTTTTTCTCCCAATACTTGGTTAGCTCTTCAAGAATCTTCTCATCATCTTTATCAAACTGATTATAATTCAAATCATTTCATTTTATAAGCTTTTCCCATTTTAAAATTGTATAAATAATCTCCAAAATATACTTGGTTACCTCTTCAAGAGTTCCCTTCTGCTGCTTCTTTACCTCCAAACACTTGATTAGCTCTTCAAGAATCCACTGTTTATAACCTCCGCAAATATGATTAATGTGCTTCTCTATATTCAGTTTGTGTTTTTTCTTTAGAATCTTGCTATCTTGAGGCAGATCCTGTAAATTCTACTAAAATCCAAATATGTTAACCATGAAATAAATGGCACACGAAAAACAATCAATAAACTAATTGAAACCAGATGCGTATGAGAAATATGTCTTGGATTATTTATTTTGTAAAGCTTTTCTGATATTGACTATAAGAGAAAAACCTGCAAGCGCCGGATTCGGACTGGATTGGTTCCTGCAACCATTTGGCGTCCAAACTCGTCGTCTCTCCTCCAGGCCCATTTATTCACTGAGACAATAGCATGTATGGAGGAAAATGAACAAGGATTGACACTCACAAATAAGAGCAAAATCTAACGGCTTTTATCACCTGCTATAATTGAGGGCAAAGGCAAGTCCATGGTTAAGTTTGGTTTGCATATTTTTTGTTTACAGACAATTTGTTTGTAAAGCTTATCATTTGGCACCCATCTCTTCAGTTTGTCTTTGAACCATCCCCGCACTGGTTGCCTACTTTTATCCGAGAATATTTTGAACATATCATTCAAATTCTGGTTGAAACCACTATTTTTCTCCCAAGACAGAAATCTTCTTTTTTCAATTGATTTGATCATCTCCTTGAACCATTTGATCATCCCCTTGAACCATTTGATTATCTCCTTTAACGAGAAGGGAGGCCTGAGATGGGATTCCTTCTCCGGCAAAAGAAAGTATACGATAGCCTTGATTAAGTTTGTCTTCAGCTCTTTTACTTTCTCGGGGCTAAGTCTCTCATCAGGAGGAATATAAGCACCGATGTCTTTTGTTACAGGTCGGCTTTCCGTTGAAGAATCTACATGGAAAAATGTTAGAAACATAAGAAAATACAATAGAAAAAGTCTCATGGGAATTTTATCGAATACCTTGCTTGCAAAGAGGGCGATTTGTTTTCAGCCTTCGTGGGTATGGATGTTTCTTGCCGCCCAAAACAGGTCTGCTATACTCTGGTCCTCTGTTAGGATCACCCAGATCGTTGTATTCAGCATATTCGTATACCCGATCCCACTTTTTCCTCTCCCGGGGTTGGAGTTCTTCCACCAATTCTCCCCTCAAGCACTTGAGTTCATACTCCCTGAGTTTCTTCAAACCCTCAGGCGTTTCTCCGGGGAGATAACTCTGTCATTGCAACATGAATTCTGGTGTGAAAAACTGCATTGTTAAAATACAATAAAGAAGATTTCGGAAGGGAAACATACGGTATTGGAGAAGAAAACTCGTGGGGTTTTCGTCTTCTTGAATGGATATACCCATGATCTGCAGTCGAAGAGGAAATGTTTCTCGACTCGTGACTTGCAGCTGAGAGTGGCGGATTCGAGGAAGAATTCATGACACCATCTGTTTTTTATCAGAAAAGCACCGGGAGTGCCAAATTCAGGCACCACCTCAAACTTTAATTTGTAGGTTGTTCTTTTCTGATTATGCTCTGTCTTCGTTTTTCCTCTCCCTAGAAACGCTCTGCCACTGATGCGTCCGAGGCCGGTGCCTGTTTCATCAAGAGCAAGAAGTAAAATGTCATCTTACAATTCCGAATTTTTTTTTTTAATTTTGTATTTTACAATAAGAAATAATATCTTTTTTTATCTCATAATTCACTCCTTTTCGTATTATATTATTAAAATTTAAAATATCTTAGGACTACTAAACTCATAAATGATGATTTTTAGAGATTATGGAAAGGATTTAAGTGTTTTGGGCAAATTAGATCAGGTGCCTATTGCACAAAACTAACTATTGAGAGGAGGCGCCAAATGTG